CCCGGCCTGGTTAATGCCCCACCCGGCGGCCCGTCCTGCCCGGCCCCTGCTGCCTCATCAAGGGCACCTGGGCAGAGCGCGGGAGGCCGCCCTACCCCCCAGCTGGGCCCGGGAGCCAGGCCGGGCCCTGTCCCCAAACGGAGGGAACTGGAGTGTTCCAGCCTCGGCGAGGATATGGGGAAGAACGCTCCCCGTGGGGAGCTGGCCGAATTATCGACGCGTGAACCTCGGGGTTGCAAAACTCGCCCAGCCGTGGATGAGGGGAACCTTGCTGTCTGGACTGCGAGACCCAGTTCTGCGCTCCTCAGGACGAGAAGGACAAGGAGCTACTGGACAGGGTCCAGCGGAGGGAAACAAAGAGGATGAGGGACCTGGAATGTTACAAGGAGAGACTGCAGGGCTGGGCCTGTTCTGGCTGGAGAAGACAGAGGGGATCTCATAACTCATATAAATATCTTTAAAGGGGTACCATAAGAATGGTGCCACTCTTTTCAGTGGTGCCCAGTGACAGGGTGAGGAGCAATGGCCATGAACCAAAACACAAAACATTTAATCTCAACATGAGGAAGAACTTTTTTTTTTTAACAGAGCACTGGAACAGTTGCCCGGGGAGGGAACGGAGTCTCCCTCTCTGGGGACATTCCAAGCTCATCTGGACATGTTCCAGTGTCACCTGCTCTAGGTGACCCTGACTAGAGCATCTCTAGAGTGCCTCCCAAATCTAAGGATTCCGTGATTCTGTTCTTTTCCTGGGGCCTAGCAGGAAGACATTTGTTTTTTAACCTGCCTGCAGGTGTCCAGCAGCTTCTGGTTCTTCAGCAACTGGGGGTTGCAAGGAACAAATGGCACTTCCCGACTTTTGGGTGCTGCAATTTGTGTCCTTTCAGTGCTTAACAATTCTTAGTAAAAAGACCTAACAGAGCAGCACCAGGCAATGCTTGCATGAAGAATGAGACTCCCTTGTGTTCTGATGCACCAAAATACAATGTCCTTCATCCTCCTCCTATTTTTTGGCTCACTATTGTGTTGCTGTTGTTCTCCTCCTGAGGGTTCCCTCAAACCCCCTTTGTTTCAACGTTCATTTTTAGCTTCTAAAGCCTTCTGCACATGCTTTCACCTGATAGTCATTTCATCAGGATGGAGCCAGTATAATTGGTGTAACAATGCACCTGGTTCAGCCATCAGCTGCAACAAGTTGGGGCTACTATGGCATTTAATTTGTTAACAGCATTCAGCTGACAAGACACAACAATCAAGTTGGGGCTACTATGGCATTTAATTTGTTAACAGCATTCAGCTGACAAGACACAACAATCTTGGAGGGTCATGGGACCTCTTCAATACTAGAAGAAGTGCAAATATAAAAATTGCTACCTGCTTTAAACATTGTTTCTGTGCAAGGTTGTGTTTATTTACTGAACTCTGGTCCTAATGTCACCTTTTTTGTGAGAACAGTAGGAAGTGAGAACAGTAGGAACTGTGGAAAATGCTTCATTTTCCTTGAGGAGGGACCAACACTGGACTCCAGCACTGGGAGATTTGGGGATTTTTTTGAGCCATACATATATATATATAACCACACACACATATATATGTATATGTGTGTATATATATACTAATATATGTGTGTGTATATATATATATATTAAACTACTTTATACTTATATGTATTTTAAACTACTTTATATGAAAAATGTCAGCAGTCATATAATTTGATTTTCAGACACACACCATGACTTTCTTGGCTTCTCAACAAAACTTTTTAAATGCAGCTCATGCTTGTACTTCATGGCTATCCTTGTCACAAAAAGAAATTAGTGTACCTGCCCTCTGATGGTTGTTGTTGTAGTTTAGGGCATAAGCGGTGCGGAAGATACCGGGATGTGACGGAAAGTTAGCGTACCCCCCCCTCTGTTAGGATAGTAAAACCTTTGCAATTAGCCAATAGCACCTAACGATGACGTAAGCAGATGGGAGTAACACAATGACCCTAGGTTATAAAATGTTAAATTCCCCTGCAATAAATGCCATTTACACCATCCATCACATTGATGCTGTGGGATATGGCCCGTGTGGCTGAGGATAGCCACCGTGCTGACGCTGGCCAGGGTGCCTGCCTTGCTTAAAAACCCACGGGTTGTCTTTAATTATTTTCCTTTTTTCAGTGTAGAAATCCTGAATTTCTTTTTTCCAGATACACTTTGTATCAATCTCCACAGGTTCCTGGGGAAGATACAGTGGCACCTCACAGAGTCTTTGGGAACAGCAAGAAAGCGTTGGGATTGACATACCCTATGCTTCTGTTTAATACTGATTTTCTGGTAAATCAGGTATTAGATAATGTGGGGAGAAATCCTGACAAATAACACAGTAGGCACTCTGCTAACTTGATTCTTGCACTGTGAATGTGCAGTTGGGAGGGATATTGTAATAGTTTGATTGAGTTTGTACAAATCAGAGATGTCAATCAGTTTCAAAAAGCATTTCAGTGTAGATTTGTGTCTCCCTGAAAACTCAGCTTCTGAGCTTGCTAACATAGTTTTCTAAGGACTTTCCCAGGACAGTAACTGTAAACATAGATATGTGTACATTCTTTCTGTTACACGTCTTGTGATTATCTTGACCATCCAATCCCTGGCCGTGGTCAGAAGCCTGTAAATCCTGGGAGGAAAAATAAACTCTCTCTTCTTTTCACCACACCTCGACCTGTGTCCGTGTGATCTATTTATCGTCAGCGGTAACAGATTTGTTTATGGATTTTGGTGGCAGGATGGTGCTGGGGCTAAAAGTTTAACTAAATAGTGAGAAGCTGAGGCCTATCTGAAATCTAAGAAATCAAAGTAACCCGGGGTATAAGTACTTATTCTTAGAAGTGTAAACTGACCTTTAAATGCTCAACATACAAAGGCCTGACATCAGGAAATAAAGGCTATACCTGTGACAGGGACAAGTTAACCTTTGATCCAACTAGTTAAAAAGAGTGTACAAGTGGTGTCAATCATGACAACAGTATCCTTTAAGTTTCCTGTGTCAAGTAGAATTTTAACAACATATGGAATTTAGCATAGAAACCACTTTGGGGGGGCTCTAATGAACAATCTGCCTGCTTGCTTTCAAGAGCAGAAGTTGCAAGAGTAAAGAGCTCTCAGCTTGAGCTGTTGAACAAGATGACTTCTAATTTAGAATGGGAATATGTATGGCTGGCTTCTCCTGGATGAAGCTGAAGTGGATGTGGGATGCCTCGACTGCCTGTATGAGATGATCTTAAATAGATCCCATAGCAGCATTCTGTGTCCCACCTGAGACACTGACAATCCTGGGGACCTGGGAGCTGCATAAATTCATGACAGCCTGGGACAAACAGGTATTTGGGATATCTGAACATTCTGGGTCTTGTGGAAGATTATAACCCTTCTTGTGTGAGTCTGAGGTAAAGCTCTGTTTTGGTTCTTAGCTTGGGCCCAACTCCAGTCCTTCTGGTGGGGGGGAGAAAAGGTGTTAGCAGATTGTTGTCTGAACCATAGCTTAAAAGTTGAATAACTGGGTCCCGTCTTTCTGCTTTAATGGGCTAGACTCCCATTTTCGGTAGTTCATCCCTTCAGTTTACCTTCAGTTATGGATGACTAACACCACTCTGGAACCAGCAACATCAGCTCTCCAGGGCCAGGGGTAACATGGAAGAATCTTAAGGTTGAATAAACGCAGCTTTCCATACTGTCTCTGCTAAACAGAACTGTTTGTACTTAACAGTCACTTAGAAAGGGAAGTTATAGGAAAAAAATACTGCATGTATATTCAGTAAATTGCATTACTTGCATTTGAGAGGAAAACCTAAGTAACAAGGCGAACAGAAAGGTTTTTAACTGGAGAAGTGCATGAGTTTATTAGGAATAAAAGCAACTCTTTTTTCTTTTAATCCAGCTAAAATTATTGATATAAATAGGATGCAATAAGCTATTCTAGATACAAGAGCAGAATGTTACAGAGACAAAGCTGGAGATACAAAGATAACTAATTCTTCAAATATATTAAATGCAAGAAGGCTACAAGTGGCTTTCTTTAGTGTATTGATTCTTAAACTTGATCTTGCATTGACTGAGCTGAACACTTTAACACAGATACAGTATTTTACAGTTGAAGGCATATCCTCAAACAGACAGGTTCTGCACAAATGCATGTAAACTGGACTTAAAACCAGAGAGTTCTTAAAAAGAACAAAGACCCTGGTGCATATTTTGACTTTATCTACAGTGGCTAAATATTTCAGTGTTCTCTGTAAGTGTGCAAAATGGTGCATGCATTACCACATCAGCAATCAGAGTAGGAGCAGCAGTAAAGTGCCACTTCATTGCATGTGCCTAGTCCTCGTTATTTTGTATGGGGTGTGTACCAACACGAAATACATAAATCTGTGTCAAAAGTCACTGATCTACTCCCAGAGGGAGGCAGAGTAAAAAAGAGGTCAGATGGCTTAGTGGGATGCTTGTTCAGAAGAGAAGTGACCTTTGTGAAGCAGATTCCTCAGCATGGTACCTCTTATGTGGGGGAAATCATCACAGTGGCTTCTGAAAACTCTGCTTAATTCCAGTGGATTTTGTAATGCTGTCAAGGACTCTTAACAGCATTTGGGTAAAATTAAATATTTGCCTATCCAAACCCCAGTACACTTGCACGATTTAATACTTAAATTGCCCAAAATGGAAATTACACCATAGAGATCAAAGCCATGAAGGTATCCAGAGGATATTGAAACAGAATATTCTCCTCAGCTCTGTTGTGCTTTGCACTTAGCACCTTCCTTCTCAGGAACTCAAAGCTCTCAGGCTGCTAATACTAGTGAATTTAGCCTCACAACATGCAGTGAGGTAGGTAAGTTTACTTCCATTTTGCAGATGGCAAAACTGAGGCAGAACTCTGAAGTGATTCACATAAGGTCCCGCAACTTGTC